CGGTGAATGCGTCATGAATAATCATTTCCAAGTGGTCATCTGTGGGAAACTTGCGATCATTGACATCTTTGGACTCCTCCTTTGAGGCTTCTAGTATCAAAGCATCGGTTAGGTCGCGGATGTTTGTCGGCTGGAAGCTCTGCCTGTGCAGATCGAGCTGCTTGCGAAGAATGACGTCACGGATTGCAATGCCCATATCAATCTTATTATAGCCTTCATTGGGGAAGAAGCGTAGCCATGGCAGGAAACCAACTGGTTTGGTATGGTTGAAGCCTTGGGCGATGAGGGTGTTGTATTTAACAACGTTGAGGAATTCTGGATCGTCTTTGTTATATCGCTTGCCAAAGACCAACGAGCAGATGATGTTGATCACTGCCAGGGCTGTGAAAAGAAATGCAAGTAAACAACGACAGGTGCAAAAAATCGCTTACCCAACTAGAATTTTCTGGCACAAATTTTTCAGTCGTATAATTCTGTTTCACTACTTCCTTAGCAATTAATAACGCAGATAAATAGAGAACTACTAAAAAAGTATCAAGATAATAAGCAAACCAAATTTCAAATTTCACGATAATTGAATCTCTTGATGTATTTGCGTCACACACTAGAGTTGGCCATCTTTTATGCATCTGACATTGCTGCTCCTAATGTCAGCGGTAAATTATTGAAAACATGCGCTGCCAGCAGCGGATCTTAAAATCCTTTGACTCAAAGTATATATGCTTGGCTCCTTCGTCGCTTCGCGATAGCAAAGTTAACAATCGCAAGGGCTGTGAAAAATGCACAAAAGATGTTCACGGACTTATGTGAACAATCGATCTAAATAACAATAAGAAATGGAACTAAAAAGAAACTATCAAAGAATCATACAGGTGAAATGCGAATGTGAAAAGCGAATGATTAATTCTGTCTATTTATGAAGAATAACTTGAAAGGGCTAAAACGAATGAAAATAAAGGAGGCATGATCTCTAAAATAGCAGGGTTTAATTCAATTTACCATAGTTTGAGTTTCAAATTTCGTTAATTTGAAAGAGTGGCCTAAATGGATTTTGTTCCATTTTAAATGCAAAACAGCCCTCTTTAGCAAGAAGTTTGAGTCCTTGCCCCTTTCCGATTCTCTAAAAAACGCTTTCACTGTCATAAGCTAAAGAAAAGGTGTCTTGGTTTTGATTATCTAGGTAGAAGCACGGCTAAACCACCATTAAACCGCAAACTGCAAAGTTTATGAAAAATGACAGAAATATAAAAACAGCAAAATGTTGCTGCTGACCCAAATTTTGATGTGGGTCTATTGGTGCTCCGTTTGCTTTGGCAATTCTATCACACAGATCATCGGCTTCTGCCTGAATGAAGTCTTCCATCTTTTCCATGCCTGTTCCATACAGTTTTAAAGATGTATGTGCCAACTTCCTTATTGATTGCCATACTGGTCCATAATCGGCAAAGGCAATATCCTTGAAGCCGCGCGTGATTTGCCCAGCGGTAAAAATGTCTTGCGGACGACCAGCAAATTCGACGCTCTTCTTGGTCAGGGCTTCACGTGCAGGCTCGACGGCGTTAACGACCACAACTCTCTTGTGTCCCAAGCTCACGCTTAAAACATCACCATATTTCTTTGCCAAGGATTTCAAGGTCATGAAATTGGAGTCTTTGAGCTGGTACAGGTTTCCTATGATCGGGAGTGGAAAGGGTCCAGGTGGGTAGTCCCTAAGTTTCCAGATATGCCTGAGATACTGAAATAGCAGGTACAGGAAGCCAAAGCCTGCTAATACGCCAAGAGACAGGAGAATCATCGCGATGTCCTAAAAGGTGAATAACAATATCAAACAATTTTTCGGTGGTATAAAATTTTGAAATGGCTTTGAGGACATAACTGAAATCCGAATTTGAATCTCCAAAATTTTTTATTGAAACCTCATGCCCTTGGCACTGCAGTGACCCTGGACATGATTGGGTCAACGATTACCATATTTCCTCTAAAGAACGCCGCGGCGTTCATTACAAAATCTAACTTTTGGATGCGGCGTTCAATAGAGGGCGGCGTTTATCAGAGGGCAGTGTTTATCAGAGGGCGGCGTTAAATACAAAGTCAAAATTCGTCAAATTAAAAAATGATAAGAAAATTGTGCTGAAGAAAGTTAAAAAGAAGCTTTAAACAATGTTTTCTTTTCCCAAAACACGTAGAAGATAGTGTGAATTTTTTTTAAAGTCCACAAAAGATGTCTTCACGTTATGGAAATGTCAAGGAATGTCAATACCCCTGCCTCCGTCAGAGTCCTCGTCTCTATGACATAACAACGTCTATAGCTTCCAAACAGTGAGCGTATAAACTATTCGTTTCTTCTTGTATGGTGTGTTTGCTTACTGAACGCTGCTTTTCAAGATACGGCATTTAAAAGAGGGCGGCGTTTTTTACAAATGGTTGGCTGAAGTTCAATAGAGGTTCAATAGAGGGCGGCGTTAAATAGAGGGCGGCGTTAAATAGAGGGCGGCGTTAAATAGAGGGCGGCGTTAAATAGAGGGCGGCGTTAAATAGAGGGCGGCGTTCATTAGTGGAAATACGGTATGCGTAGCAGTTCAAACTTTCCACACAATGGTTTGGAAAATCTTGCCGAGTCATTCGCCTCCACAGGATACAATTTGTCCGCTTCGCAGCAACCAACATGCAAGGCGAATTTCATCCCAAATATATGCTGAGTCATTCGGGGTGACGGAAATATTTTTGGAAAAATAATTGTAAAATACCAAAAGAAACATCAGGTCCCTTTCTGAATGACCTAGACCAAGCCATTTTGCTTCCTGGAGTCACAGAATGACACTTCTCTTCGTGTTGGTTTTGTTTGCGGTTATCGTATAACTGTTCAACAAATGAACAATTCTAACGAAAACAAAAGGAACTCTTTCTTCAGCTGGTGTCTTGGTAACTGTAACTGCAGTGTCGTTGTTTTGTTGTTTCTGGGCCTAATTTACGCTGGAAAGGCTATGTTCATGCTGTAATTAGCGTTCCCAAGGGCTTATTGTAATTTGCGAAATTTCGCCGAAATTTCGCCGAAATTTCGTACGAAATTTCGTTACATGAAATCCACCTTTTATACCTGAAATCGAAGCATAAACCAATTGAAAGTGATATATAAACCTTACATTCCTTGTCTACCATCATAAGAACGCATATTTATTGCATTAAAGCGACATGTTTCTTCTCAGTCTCCAGCGGTAGAAGCCATGCTTTCCGAGCCCGACCCAAAGAAGACGGGGGTTTAGTACATAGTATCTGGTTAGCGAGACACAATGTCAATGCCGCTGTGACTGCAACAGAGGAGACAAAGTGTAATGAACAATTAGGCTGTCATTTGCGAATGCAACCTTTCAATCGTTCCAAAATTATCAACAAAGTATTTACGAGAGGTCTGTCCAAAATAAATTTTTGCAGTGGAAAACAGCTTAAGTCATATTGTATGCGTATTTTAGTTAGAATTAGGATCCAAAAGATTACCATCATCCACGGGAGAATCAAATATAGCAAAATCCTCGCTTTAAACTGCGTTTTAAAAAATTAGTAATTTGCGAAATTTCGCAAAATACAGTTTTTTTACAACTACTCAAATGGGGCCGTATCAACATAAATCACGTCAGTAGGGTATTATGTATCTACAAAATGAAGGAACAAGTCGCCATTGCCATTAACAATGTATGCCCTGTTGCTGTTTAGTCCTGCTTTAGAGACTTTAGGTTTGACTCTCGGCCCTTAGGAAATCGACCGAATTTTCATGTGATAAAGATCATATCAGTTCGGAAAAGAATAGAAAACGACTATACGATCAAAAGGGAAAACAATTACAGCAAAATCCTCGCTTTAAACTGCGTTTTAAAAAATTAGTAATTTGCGAAATTTCGCAAAATGCAGTTTTTTTACAACTACTCAAATGGAGCCGTATCAACATAAATCACGTCAGTAGGGTATTATGTGTCTACAAAATGAAGGAACAAGTCGCCATTGCCATTAACAATGTATGCCCTGTTGCTGTTTAGTCCTGCTTTAGAGATTTTAGGTTTGACTCTCGGCCCTTAGGAAATCGACCGAATTTTCATGTGATAAAGATCATATCAGTTCGGAAAAGAATAGAAAACGACTTTACGATCAAAAGGGAAAACAATTACAGCAAAACCCTCGCTTTAAACTGCGTTTTAAAAAATTAGTAATTTGCGAAATTTCGCAAAATACAGTTTTTTACAACTACTCAAATGGAGCCGTATCAACATAAATCACGTCAGTAGGGTATTATGTGTCTACAAAATGAAGGAACAAGTCGCCATTGCCATTAACAATGTATGCCCTGTTGTTGTTTAGTCCTGCTTTAGAGACTTTAGGTTTGACTCTCGGCCCTTAGGAAATCGACCGAATTTCATGTGATAAAGATCATATCAGTTCGGAAAAGAATAGAAAACGACTTTACGATCAAAAGGGAAAACAATTACAGCAAAATCCTCGCTTTAAACTGCGTTTTACAAAATTAGTAATTTGCGAAATTTCGCAAAATACAGTTTTTTTACAACTACTCAAATGGGGCCGTATCAACATAAATCACGTCGGTAGGGTATTATGTGTCTACAAAATGAGGGAAAAAGTCGTTTATAGGATAGGGCCCCATTTGAGTAGTTGTAAAAAACTGTATTTTGCGAAATTTCGCAAATTACTAATTTTTTAAAACGCAGTTTATTGCGAGGATTTTGCTGTAATTGTTTTCCCTTTTGATCGTAAAGTCGTTTTCAATTCTTTTCCGAACTGATATGATCTTTATCACATGAAAATTCGGTCGATTTCCTAAGGGCCGAGAGTCAAACCTAAAATCTCTAAAGCAGGACTAAACAACAACAGGGCATACATTGTTAATGGCAATGGCGACTTGTTCCTTCATTTTGTAGACACATCATACCCTACTGACGTGATTTATGTTGATACGGCCCCATTTGAGTAGTTGTAAAAAAACTGTATTTTGCGAAATTTCGCAAATTACTAATTTTTTAAAACGCAGTTTAAAGCGAGGGTTTTGCTGTAATTGTTTTCCCTTTTGATCGTAAAGTCGTTTTCTATTCTTTTCCGAACTGATATGATCTTTATCACATGAAAATTCGGTCGATTTCCTAAGGGCCGAGAGTCAAACCTAAAATCTCTAAAGCAGGACTAAACAGCAACAGGGCATACATTGTTAATGGCAATGGCGACTTGTTCCTTCATTTTGTAGACACATAATACCCTACTGACGTGATTTATGTTGATACGGCTCCATTTGAGTAGTTGTAAAAAAACTGTATTTTGCGAAATTTCGCAAATTACTAATTTTTTAAAACGCAGTTTAAAGCGAGGATTTTGCTATATTTGATTCTCCCGTGGATGATGGTAATCTTTTGGATCCTAATTCTAACTAAAATAAGCATACAATATGACTTAAGCTGTTTTCCACTGCAAAAATTTATTTTGGACAGTCCTCTCGTAAATACTTTGTTGATAATTTTGGAACGATTGAAAGGTTGCATTCGCAAATGACAGCCTAATTGTTCATTACACTTTGTCTCCTCTGTTGCAGTCACAGCGGCATTGACATTGTGTCTCGCTAACCAGATACTATGTACTAAACCCCCGTCTTCTTTGGGACGGGCTCGGAAAGCATGGCTTCTACCGCTGGAGACTGAGAAGAAACATGTCGCTTTAATGCAATAAATATGCGTTCTTATGATGGTAGACAAGGAATGTAAGGTTTATATATCACTTTCAATTTGTTTATGCTTCGATTTCAGGTATAAAAGGCGGATTTCATGTAACGAAATTTCGTACGAAATTTCGGCGAAATTTCGCAAATTACAATAAGCCGTTCCCAAG